TATTTTCAAAGAACCTTAGAGTGTTTGAAATCTTTTCAAAGAACCTTAGAGTGTTTGAAATATTTTTAAGGAAGCAGCAAGAATTGGATTATAGAATCGGTGATCTTGTGTTGATAGTGTGCAATCAGATTTACTCGAGTGAAAAATCTCTTGGAGTGTTTGAAATATTTTCAAGGAACCTTAGAGTGTTTGAAATATTTTTAATTAAGGAGCTTAAGCGATGAATAGGTTGCATCTATCGATTGCTTTGATCTTGTTTAAGATCAAAGGCTGGAAGAAGAAGCGCCAATACCAAATTGGAGAATTTTGTATTATTGTTATATCTCTTCCTTTTGTATTAAATTTTTTTTCCATATAAGAATTATCCTAATTCCATTTGAATTAGGAGCAGACATACCCACACGTGAGGATGATAGTGGGGAACTGTGTCGACAAATTCCTTATGTGTTTTTACTTTTCCGCTTTTACTTGCTTTCAATTTCATCAATCGTTTTAACAAATAGCATTGTGATAGTAATTGAAATGTAAGAATTTTCTTCTCAAAATATGTTTTTGAATTAGGTTTGGATATAGATTATAAGCACTTTTGATTATAAGTGGTTTTGTATATCAACACCACTCAAGGAAAAATTCTAAAAATTCACTTTCACGCCAAGTGTTTGATAAAATGATCAAGTTAGTTCTTTTATTATTTAGCCTTGGAAATAGCATTGAAAAATGATTGTGTTTAAACAATAAATAAGTGGATTATTGAATTGAGTTTGTGTTAATCAATTATTCAATTTTGTTTCATAGATTTAACGTTAACATTTTGTATATCTGAGTTTCCAATAAGTTGTATTTTAGATGACTTATCCAGTGATTTGCTCCCGCATTAAAAAGTTTTGAAAACAAATTAAATTCTAGATTTCTGTCTAGAATTATTTTTTGCGCCTCTATTCACCCCTCTGGATATGAGCCATCATCTAACAAGTGGCATCAAGAGTCCGGTTCATTCCGGCTTTAAACACTACTTAGAAAATGGCTTACGAACCTAAAGGGGATCATAAGAGAGCACTAATTTATACGGAAGAAAATTATAATTATTGGAAATCTTGTATGCAAATTCATATCAAATCATATGACAAATGTGTGTGGGAAGCCATTCAAAATGGTCCAACACCGGAGATATATGATGTTGATGGCATTATTATGCCTAAGCCAAAAAAATCTATGGGATGAGAATGATAATAAAAAATGGTCTTACAATTGAAAATCTAAGAACATCATCATATCCTCACTTGGTATTGATAAGTTTTGTCGCATTTCTCATTGTCAAACCGCTAAGGCTATATGGGAAACTCTACAAGTTGCCCATGAGGGAACTAATGAGGTCAAACAAGCTAGGATTAATACACTCACTCAAGAATTTGAACTCTTTCGCATGAAAAATGGTGAAAGCATTGCAAAATGCAAAAGAGATTATCTCATCTTATTAATCATTTGAACTTACTAGATAATCCTATTTCCAATGATATTGCTACTAATAAAGTTTTGAGATGTATTACTAGGAATTTGCAACCTAAGGTCACCGTGATTATGGAAGCTAACAATGTTGAAACACTTGATCTCACTGCACTTTTTGGTATACTTGAAGAACACGAGCAAGAACTCAATTTCTTGGATAAATATGAAAAGAAGCTTGAGAAGAAAAAGAAAAATAAGGAAAGTCACAAGGAGGAAGTTATGAAGTCTAAAGCTCTTAAGGATTCTAGCTCTAAATCCTCAAAAGAAGAGCAAAGTAAGAATAATGACTCTAGTGATGATGAGATTTCAGATGATGAAGATATGGGATTATTAGTGAGAAAATATAATCGGTATATTTGGAGAAATGGAGTTAATTTTTACGACAATAATATCTCATGAAGTTTAGAAGGAAATCCTCATCCCTCAAATAAGAGAACAACAAAAAGGACAAAGGAAAATTTATTTGCTACGGATGTGGCAAGCCCGGTCACTACAAACCGGATTGTTCATATCTTGCCAAGAAGAAAGGAAACGGCCAAAGAAACAAGTCTAGACAAGCCTATGTTACTTGGGAGAGTGAAAGTGAATCCTCAAGCAATAAAAGCTCAAGTGAGAGTGATGAAGAGGCAAATTATTGTTTCATGGAAAATCATAGACAAGGAAAGAAAAAGGATGTAAGTCTTAAATACTCTAACATTTCCACTTTTTCTTATAATGAATTAAAAATGGAATTTCAAAAACTACAAATAGAGTTTTTGAATGCTAACAAGAAATTGGCCTCCGAAGAGAAATTTTTCACATTTTTAGAGGCCAAGGTTGATGAAACAAATGATGATTTAGAAGTATTAAAAGAACTTATAGTAGATAGTTCAAATCATGAAAAATAGGATGAACCATCTTACAAATATGGTTGTGACACATGTCAAATTTGGCAACAAGAAGTGAGTACTCTTGCTACCAAATTAGGTAATCTACACCATTCCATTAAAAACATGTCTATTAGGTCCTCGATGGTTGAAATGCCTCCTAAAAATTAATATTTTATTAAGAAAGAACCTAATAGAATTATTAATTCTCATCATAGGATATTATGTCACTATTGTTTCAAAAAGGGTCATACTATTGAAAAATGCAAGTTTAGGACTTTTTTTATTCCTAAAGGTAATTTTCAATAGTTGCCTAAATGCAACAATTATTTAACTCACTCTCAAGGATCCAATGATAATTGGGTACCTGCAACCCTTGTTTCATTTTTGTAGGATGAATGTCTTGATGCTATGACGGGAAAATGAATTCTCGATAGTGGAGGTTCAAGACATATGATGGGAAACATATTGCTCTTCTCCGACTTTGTGGCGAATAAGAAAGGATTTGTGTCCTATGGTGATCACAACAAAGGTGCAATACTTGAAAAAGGTAGTATAGGTAATCCCTCAATTATTACTATCTCAAATGTTATGTTAGTTGAAGGCCTTAAACATAATCTTCTTAGTATTAGTCAATTATGTGATAATGGGTATAAAGTGTCTTTTGCCAAAGATTGTTGCATAATTGAATATAGTGAAAAGAAGGATTGAATGCTTAAGGCTTTGAGGGTTGGTAAAATTTATATGATTGAATTAAGAGAGGTTTCCTTGAATAATTCTCAGTGTCTTGTTACCTTTAGTGAAGACTATTGGCAATGACATAGACGTTTAGCTCATGTCAACTTTGATCTACTTAATAAAATAGTTTCAAAAATTTTAGTAAACCGTCTACCAAAAATAATTTTTTCTAAAGACCATATATGTGATGCATGTCAAAAGGGAAAGCAAACAATGGCCTATTTTAAATCTAAGAAACTTGTTTCTACATCAAGGCCACTTGAGCTCTTTCACATGGATTTGCTTGGTCCTTCACAGATTAAAATCGTAGGTGGAAATTATTATGGTTTGGTAATTGTAGATGATTACTCTAGATTTTTTTGGACCTTTTTCTTACGTAGAAAGGATGAAACATTCGTAGCTTTCACACGTTTTTCCAAGATTGATCAAAATAAAATGAACTAAAAAATAGTCGTTATTCGAAGTTGTCATACCCCAAATTTGTCCTACCTTTTCACTTTTGTCTGGAACAGACCTTACATTTCAATTACATCAGTTTCACAAGGTCATTTTCATATCATTCCTTCATTCAAAAGACATTGGTTCAAGGAATTAGTTGTTATACCATCTGAGGATTAATATTTGGTTTAAAGTTACTTCATCATATAAAGACAAATTTATTTGGTTCCTGAGCAGAGGACAATGGAATTAAATTTTGAAGTACGGTAATCAGGGATTTCTTTCTCATCAAGTACAATACCATTTCTCATTCAAATTTATCAAGATCTTGGATTAGGGTTTATTTCCCTATGTGTGATTAAAAATTAGGGTTTTTCAGCATCATGCCTCAGCTAGGGTTTGAATCCCTCAAGTGTTCAGTATGGCTAATCATTGATTCTCAAAGGATATTTCATCAAAGCATTGCCTCTAATATCAATGAATAGTAAATATTTCATCATCGCTGGTCGAAATGTACATTAATATGTATTGGAATGCAAGGAAATATTGGGCTTGTAAATTGATTCAAAGAGCATTGATCAGAAAGTCAACATTTTTAAGATCAAGTTCAGTAGATCATAACTTCTTTGATATTCAATATTTTTGAGCGATTCTTTGAGCATTTGGTTCCTTTTGATGTCCTCTACAACTTATGTTTACAAGTCAAGGGCCAATTATGCGTGTAAGATCATTAAAAGTTCGAATACTTTAGAAGTCACTTTATGAATTTTGACTTAATCTAAAGTAATTGTGACCAGACTTTCAAGGATCATAGCTTCCTTAATTTTCAACATCTTGAGATGATTATTTTTGCACATTATCCTAAGGAATGTCATCTATAAGTTTTCTTTAGGAATCAAGGTCAAATTGTGCTTGGGGGGCCACGAAATTTAAAGAACGTTACAATGATCATTCAAAGGCTTTTAGGTTTGGTTCGAGTTCTTATGCTCACATGATGCGAGGAGAATTTTTGTCGAGTGGCATGATTTGAATTTAAGGTTGTTGGAAAAAGAACCCATTTAGAGTAATAGGAGTTTTCATCATGTGAATTTAAGGAGTTTTCATCTAGATGGAAGTTATCAAAAAGGCTCATTGAAGATTCAAATCATTCATCACATTCCATTATTCAAGACTTTTTAAGGCATGATATTTCAATGTCATCAAACACTTACCATCAAGTATTGATTCAAGGAAAGTTATGCAAATTCAAGCCATATTCAATCAAATTGCTTCATTCAAGATCCATTCGAGTGTTTTCAAGAGACAGTTTTTTTCATATTCATTCATGATTCAAGATTCAAGATACATTCACAAATACAAGAGCAATTAAAAGTTACATGAAAACATTGCAAATCCTAAAGAACCTATGCTTTTAATCATAACCTTCAAGCCTAAACTCCAAGTTTAACTTCCATGCTCAATCTTAAAAGTTGCCTTGCCTTGCCTTACTTCATTATTTCATCTATCTTTTTTATAAAACCAGTTCATGCAGCCCCACATCCAATACAGTCCAAAATTATGCTATTGCAATGCTGCAACATGGCAAAAAACCTGTCAAAAATAGTCTTGCTTCCCTATTACTATGTTGCTGTCCAAAATTGTCAAACGTGCCATTGCTACCACATACAACCAAAACCAGTCCAATACAACCTACTACCTTGCCTCTTTCCATCTTGTTTCATGCTCCAAAACATGTTCCAAACAGAGGAAAGCCTTGTTGCTGCCCTGTCCACAAAACAACAAAATCCCTGCTATTCATACCTATAAAAAACTTAAGATAAAAAGCCAAAACTAGTCCCTAAATCAGTTCAAATGTTGCATACAAATAACAAAAACAAAATCTGCAATAAAAAGTAGCAAAGTTATGCACTCAGAGTGTTCAAAATAGCTAATGCTTCCCCCCTAAAACACACATCAATATGCCTATATAAGATGCATTATACATAAAAAAGTGAAGAAGATACAAAAACTACACAATGCTCTCTTTGCAATACGCAAATCATAGAACATAAATAGTAGAGGAAACCAGAGAAGAGCAGAAGCATAGTAGAAGGGAAGTTACAAGGGAATATCTTCACCTCCAAAAATATTTGGAGTTGGTATTCTTTCTGAACTCTCCAATCATACTTGCTTTGCTATGCTTATTCGTGCTTTATTTTTTTGATTACCTTCGCCAAAGACTGTTGTTCAATTTTATTAAAACCGTTTGTTGCTTTGAGTGTGTTTTCATTTGTTTTATTCTTTCTAAATCTGGAAACGATCAAAAGAAACAAGGTGAGTTGAGTAAAAATGAGAGAGAAATCAGTAGAGAAAGATTATACACGATAACCTACAAAAATGTCAGACCCACTATCCTCAAATAATCTCCCTCAATCTCATTCTATACCTGCATACATTCACTGCAAACCTTAACTCAAACCCCCACTTCTTCAATGCATTAACCGTCACTGTAATAAAACCTTATCAGCTCACCATAGTCTCCATACTCCCCCATCCATCACTCTCATAACCTTCATCGCAGCTGCTCCCTCAAATCCGAAGTCACCATAAACCAACCTTCAACAACCATAAAACCTATTGTAACCTATAACTACCACCATCTTCAAGCCCTGTTTCAAACATAAACTCAACACAGGACAACTCACCACATTCACATACTCGCATTTCACACTCGACCAGACAACAACAATGACTCGATAAGATGACAACAAACATAACATAGAGAAACTCAAAACATAGAAAACCAGAAAAGAAACAATAGCAACATAAATGATAACGAGAAGAAGAAGAAACAATTTTGAGCAAAATTCAAGGAAACATAAAAGTTATTCACCTGAAAATATCTCGGGTCTCCTCTATAACTTCGTCTTCACCCTCGAAGTCACCGGAGGAGCCATCAGTTCCGGTTCAGATTCCCTCTACCTATTTCTTTTAGTCTTTTCGTTGGCATGAATGTGATTGCTTGAATCCAGACATGTTAGGGTTACTACAATTCAGTTTGATTTAGGGACATAAACACAAAACTGAGATGAAAATAAGGTAGATAACCAAGAATGCTGCAAGTGGCACCTCATCTACTCCCTTAGGGTTTTCTTTAGATTTTTTGAGTGGCCACCCATTGGGCCTTATGTCCAAACAAACTTAGTTCGCTTAGATCTATTACCACCAATTTTCGATTCACACCCCACTAGCCTGCTTTTCAAAGAAGATATCAATTTCGTTTTGGATCATGCAGGCCAATGTAGCCCAACGCCTCATTCTAGTGCCACCCCTTTTTTTTTTCTTTTTTTTTTTGTCATTGTTATTTTTATTTTAATGTTTCTTAATATGATAAAAAATATCAAAAATATTATAATAGACTTTAATTTTTCTTTTAATTTTAATGTTTCTTAACATGAAAAAAATACCAAAAATGTTAGAATAGGTTTAATTTCCTTTTAATTTTAATATTTCTTTAACCTGAAAACTCCAAAAAATATTATTATTATTTTCTTTATTTTTGTTTGATTGCTTGGTTAATTTTGATAACATGTTCCTTTAAGTGATTCTCCAAATCGATTAAATTCATATTGATCATTTCATATTGAGTTAGACTTTAGGATCAATCCATGCATGATAACTAATTAGGTTAGAAATTTCCCTTTCAAACACTCAACTTTAGGTCCACTTTGCATGATAACATTAGGGTAGAATTTTCCCTTAGACTTTTCTTTTGCATTGCATATTTCCTAATTAAAACAAAAAACTTTCTTTCCTTAATCAACTACCCAAAAACACTTAACAATTTCAAACTCATTCCATGTTTAACAAAAACACTCAACAAATCAAAGATTTCTTCAAAAGGGAATGTTATCTCCGTTTTACCGCGATACGGGCCGTGCCTATTGTTTGAATGCGTGCGCTAATGTCGCCAACTAAAAAACACCAACAAACCAACATTTTCTAGAAGAACTACGATGTTCTGATTCCTTCACGGGATACATAGGCAAAGGATTGCGAGACCCTCACAAACACACTTATCAAAACCATTTCATTTCCCTTAGCAAGTATAGTTTTAGATAGACGCGCCCTTAGAAACAAACAATAGAAATGGGTCCTGTTAAGTACAACGGATGTGAGGGGTTCTAATATCTTCCCCTTGCATAATCGAATTTCGTACCCTCTCTTTTGGTTGCAAGACCATCTTATCCATCCTCTTGGGGTTTTCTCGATATTTCCCCTTCCTTCGAAATAAATAAAGTTTGATGGCGGCTCTGTGTTTTTTTTGCCGGTTGCTTCAGCTGGCGACTCTACTGAGGAGACTATGCGATTCTATCATAGTTTTGTTTGTTTGCTTCTTTGGGTATTTATTTATTTACTTTATTTGCTTTACCACTTTATTTATTTATTTCTTTATTGGTTTATTTTGTATATATTGCATTGTATTTTTTGCTACTCACCTATTTTGGATATGCGATTTCTTTTGTGATGTTGGGGTGGGTGATTTTATTTAATAAGTCCTATACCCGGACCCGGGGAAAACTTAATATTAGTATGGGAAGTATAGTCATGTTAACTTTGAGGGAGTAATCCCGAAGAAGGAGGCATGAGATCCCCCACTCAGTGGAGGCCCCTTTGACTATATTATTTGTTTATCGAGTAATCGAGAAGACATTGCTACTTTCAACATGGGATCCTGCGAAGCTGAGCCGTTGAACCCTTAACCCATCCAAGCCTTTTTAGGTGTAGTGCAAAGACTATGACGGAGTAATCCATAAGAATTTGTCATGCGATGTTGCACTCAGATGAGTCTTTCCTACGAATATTACTAATTACCGAGTAACTGAGACGTTGATAATATCCAAAGGAAGAGCGTAGACTTTGGGATTTCCCTAGAACCTTGTTCGGTCGGTGATAAACCTTTAGTACATACCTTATGGGTTGTTACTTTGACTCTATGCTTGTGAAGCCGGACCTTTAAGCCTTTTACTTTCAATTTATGCAAAGGATTATACAGTGGTTATCTAGAATATATGGAGTTGAGATCCCATGCCATAGCATACCATGACATCATACCATCATGTATATGCATCTCATATCTAAGGAATTCCAAAGAAAAGTCTTGTTGGTTGAGCTCTCCAAAAAAAAATAAAAAATTGTTAAAAGGTACTTATGGATAGACGAGTCTTTGGAATTCCTCGGAAATGAAGATGAAACATGCATTCATATTATCATGCATTCATTATTCACAAAAAAAACTTATTAGGGTCCCTTTTCAATCAGACTCAAGAGAACAAGAAAGATGACTTCCCTACATCCCTACCGTACAATGAGCAACCAGCAAAGACTTATGGATCTCTTCGAAGAAAATCAGAATACTCTCCCCTGAGATATGGACACCATGGGCACCCGAATGGATCAGCTTATGGAAACCCTTCATGTTGTCATCAAGGGTCAAGAAGAGCTCCATCAAAGTGTTTCTAAGCTTTCCACTGGTTCCCTCTTTAGAGAAAGAAGTGGAGTTAATACTGAGCATGTCATTGATCTTGATGAGCCCCGCGCGAATCTCGCCACTAGAGTTGCTGAAACTACAAAGATGTACCATGCTCTTGAAGAGCGTCTCAAAGCTATGGAAGGTATCAAGAATTAAGGATTTAATATTGCTGCAATGTTCCTCATTCCTGGGGTAGTTATTCCTCCCAAGTTTAAAGTTCCTGATTTTGATCAATATAAAGGCACCACCTGCCCGAAGACTCATCTTTGTTCCTATTCTCGCAAGATGGCAACTTATGCTGAAAATGAACTGTTGCTCATGCATTTCTTCCAAGACAACCTGACAGGGACACTGCTGGACTGGTATATGCAATTAGAGAGAACTCATGTCAGTACTTGGGGAGAGCTTGTTGAATCCTTTTTACGACATTACCATTATAATACCTCCATGTCTCCTAGTCGCACTCAGCTTCAAGGGATGACATAGAAATCCGAAGAGTCTTTTAAAGAGTATGCCCAAAGGTGGCATGAACTTGATGTAAAGTTACAACCTCCTCTCTTGGATCGTGAACTGATTGATTTGTTCATGGGTACTCTATGAGGTCCTTATCTCCAACACATGCTCAGTAGTAACTCCATTTCTTTCTCTGATATGGTTATTATTGGAGAACATGTTGAAACTTGTATCAAGGTTGGAATGATCCAAGGTATCCCTAACAATACCAACAACAATATTGGAAATGGTAGGAAGTTGTTTTCTGTTTTTATCAAGAAGAAAGAGGGTGAGACTAGTGTTGTCACCATCGACAAAGGAAAAGCTGCCACATATCCTCAAGTTCGATTTCCTTATTTCCCAACACCTGTTGTTGTTCCTAATAAATATGTTCCTCAAGTGTATATTGCTACAACTCCACCACCCTGGTGGCCAAACAATGATCTTTCGTTCCTCAACCATAGTATCTCCCACAATAATAATTTGCACCACCTCTGAATTATCAACAACAGAATCAGCGACCTCAAGTACCGAGAGTTCAACAGAGACTAAGAGGGCATGAGATGAGATTTGATCCTATTCCTATATCCTACACTCCACTTCCCCCTTAATTTCTTGCCAATAAGTTGGTTCAACTGCGTGAACTTGGTCCGCCACCAAATCCTTTTCCAAGGGGGTATGATATTAATGCTCATTGTGAATTCCATTCTAGAGCCCCAGGCCACACAATTGAGAATTGTAGAGCATTTAAATGCAAAGCTCAAGACCTCCTCGATGCAAAGACCATAAATTTCAACCCTGTTGGTCCCAATATTCAGAATAATCCCATGCCTCCTCACCCAGGGGCAGCGGTCAATGCTATTAAAGAAGGTAGTGAGCAGATTCTGGTCACCAAGGTTGACGAGATCAAGATGTCACTGGGGACTATTAGAGAAAATTTGTTGAAGCACGAGGTGCTGCAAGAACTCCATGATTTTTTCTTACCATGTTCCTCTAAACTTGAAGAGCGTACTAGTTTGAAGACGGCTATCCAAGAACTAATGGATGAAGGTTTCATACAAATAGAGAAGATATTTCTAGAAAAAGAGATTGATGTCTTAGAAATTCCTTATTATCCGAGGAATATATCAGTAACACAAGGAACCCCATTGATGATTCAAGCTCCCGCTACCCCATTAATGATTCAAGCTCCAGTTACCCGCGTGACAACTCAAATTCCTATTCCTCCTCTATGTGACAAGTCAAAGGCAGTTTCATGGGAGTATAATTTGGTATATATTATGGGGAAGAAATATGAGTGTCCCCCGGTGGGTTAAAAGAGTATTACCAATATCTTAGGAACTAGTAACATGACTCGTAGTGGCAGGGTCTTTTCTCCCACCACTTCCTCCTAAAGAAACCAACAGTGATGCTCTAGCCAAGGCTAGGGGAAATCAAGTGACTGGTGACCAGCCTGAACCTTCTTTAGGTCAAGAAGCGGAGAAACTTTTGAGGATTATCTAGCGAAGTGATTACAAAGTGGTTGATCAACTTAACCAGACGCCATCCAAGATCTCCATCTTGTCCCATCTCTTGTGTTCAGAGACTCATCACAATGCCTTATTAAATATTTTGTGTTCTACACATGTTACATAAGACATTTTTGTGGCTCAGTTTGAAGGGATCGTAAGCAATATTGCTGTAGGAAATTGTTTGGGTTTCTGTGATGATGAGTTCCCCGTTGAAGGCAGAGCACAGAACAAAGTGCTTCACATCTCCATAAGGTGTTTGGATACGGTTTTATCTCAAGTTTTGGTGGATACATGTTCTTCTCTCAATGTGATGCCTAAGGCAACTCTATTTAATCTGAATATGGATGAAGTAATGATGAGGCCTTGCACCTTAAGTGTTCGAGCATTTGATGGCTCAAGGAGGTCTCTTGAGGGAGAAGTGGACTTTCCTGTCAAGATTGGTCCCCACACCTTCTATCTTTCATTCTATGTTATGG